GTCTTTTTCAGCAACATGGATGGAACTGCAAAAGATCATGCTTAGTGAAATAAGCCAGAAAGAAAAGAAAAATACCAGATGGTTTCTCTCATAGCAGGAATATAACAGAACAGGCAAGAAAATAAAGATAATGATGAACAGCTATATACCAGAGACATTTTGTGGGGGTAGAGTGCGGAATGGGGGGGAGGGAATTGCACTGGACTATGGTGATGGCACATGGGTGATTTTGTGATGGGAAGCCCAAGGGGATTACAACTGAAATGGAAAAATGCACAAAAATATGTAAAAATAAACTATTATAAAATTTTTTTAAAAAAGCAAAAAGGCTGAGTGCAGTGCAGAGGTATGCTCTGGTTCAAGAGTCTTGCTCCTATTGGGGCCTTCTGCCCCAGTTTCAAAACCCTCACTAATTTCTTATACCCCAACCCAGGAACCCTAAGGCACTGGGGCTATGGAGACTTGAATACCTGTGGTACATGGTGTTGGTGGCCTCATATGTGGGATTGATGGGGTCCTCATAGCCAATCTCTGTGGCGCGGGCACGTTCCTGGGCCATATATGCACCCCGCACTAGCTTGGCCCCAAAACACCAGCCCTCACGGCAAGCCAGCTCCAAGTCCACAGTGACATTGTCATAGGCATCCTATGGAATCAGAACCAAAAGTCAGCAGCCACCAGAAAGGGCCCCTTCGGCCTGTGAGGAAGATGCCCCTGCCCACCTGTGACACTCGGGAATTCAAAAGGCAGGTGTGGGGAAGGAAGGCCCTTTGATCTCTATCTCCAAAGGATGGGAGACATAGCTGCCTCTGTCCTGAGGGCAGTCTGTGTGGGCACAGAGTAAATACCACCAGCCACAGTCTCTTCTGGCCGACTTAGAAGTGGGGGCTACATCCTAGGGGTACCACCTGGACTCCCCTTCACCTACTTCACTCCCTTCCCCCTGCATACTTGGCCCCTACCCAGTACTCTCCAGACTCCTAGATAGTTTCTCAGCAGCCTAGCCCAGTTTAGTGTTACGAGTTCCCTTTAAGGTAGTGCAAAATTCTGAGCAAATATTTACTGGCAAAGCGCTCAGTTTCACCAGATCCTCAGAGGGACCCACACAAAAAAAAATGCAGAAGAAAATGGTCACTCAAGAAGCCTTGAAATGTGGGGGTTAAGTGGACTCTAAAAAAAGCTCCTCATTTTCCTCTTACCCTTCAATACCTCTGTATGTGTCTGATGCAGAGACCACAGAAGAGGAACAACCGCTGGTGACAGGATACAGAAGGCAGAGACCTCTCTCCTGATACCAGCCACCCTCACCCATGCACTCCAAGGCACTGACCCCAAGTCTGTCTTCAGAAGACAGGTGGGGAGGTGGCAGGCTGGGGGAGCCCCATACCTTAAGGTAGCACTGGTACGTATTGAAGATGAGTGGCTTCTCCACATTGAACTTGCGCTGCATTTCCAGCGTCAGGTGGCTGATGGCGGGCTGGAAATAGGTCTGCTCAGCATCTACCATCAGCCGCACACCTGTCTCAGAGGCCTTCTGAAAGGTGTAGGGTGGAAGAGCAAGTTTGTCTGGGGCACAGGTAAGACAGGATCCCAATAATACCCACATATACCCTGTATGGATCAACCTTGGCCAGAGTATCCATCCTCTGTAGCACCCGCATCATCTGCCGCTCTTCCTCCTCTGTGAACTTCGACAGCAAGAGCTCCAGCTGTCCTGTCTAAGGAGGTAGCATATGGTCAGGCTTCAGCACTGTACTTTTAAAGCCCCTCAACCCTGGCCCTCCCTGGTGGCGCAGCGGGTTAAAGCACAGCACTGAGAATCTAAAGCCACTTCCACATGAGTTCAATTCCCGCCTGCCCTGGAGGTGACCACATGGTATGGCAGACCTCTCCTGGACCACCCGCTGCTCCCCTCAGCAGTGTATTTTGTGGATCTGCCTGTTCTGTTCCCCATTCTGTCTCTGGTAAAGCCTCTCGCTGCCCCTAAGCCTCTGGCCTGTACCCCAGTTCTGTATGCACAAATAAAAAATCTTTAAAAAAAAAAAAAAAAGCCCCTCAACCCAAAACACTTCTGATCCTCTACATCACAGCTTAGAGGTGGTTTCAAACAATTCCTGGTCACCTTCCCATAGGGTTTAAGGGCAGGTGAATACAGGCCCCTAAATACAGGCTGGCTCATGGCTTTATTTTAACCAATAGAATCAGGAATTCTGAGGCTGGAAAAGATGACAGTTTCTGCCTGGCTTTCAGGGACACTTACCAGCCACAGGCCAACCACCGGCATCAACTACGAGCTGTGTGGCAGGGGCCCTCTGAAATGCCCCCACCCCGTTCTCAGCAGACTGCATAGGAACCCCAAGCAAAAACTGCCTTCAAGTTACTGAGGTTGAAGTAACCTGACCTGTAAGAATGATGATATGGGGAAGGAGCTCAGGCACTCCTTTCCACAGGGGTCTGGTCATACGTCAAGACACTAGTGGGTCTCTTTGCTGCTAGATCACTGGGGTCTCATGGAACCAGGAGGACAATGGACTCAACCACTTTGGATCCCCATCTGCCAGCCTAGAGTAGGCAAAGGGAGCATTTCCCTGCCAGACATTCTGCTGAGGTGGGAGTCCAGTGGCCAAGGAGGCATCACCTGCATGTTGGGGACCATTAGGTGCTTGGAAAACTCATTTCTGATGTCAATGAAACTGTTCCAGTCCAAAAGGTCCAGGGTGCTGTAGGAGAAAGGTAAGTGAGCACAGAGGCTGCCACTTCTCAGTCTAGCTCCCCAGCATTACTCACATGCACTGCTGGAGTCCCAAGCCCAAACCACTTATTCAACCTAAAAGAGCATGCCCCCCACCCAGCAAGATCCACCTCAGTGTTCAGATAGACAAAATGCTAAGTGTGACCCCCTCTTTAAAATTTTAAACATAGGCCCTCCCTGGTGGCGCAGCCGGTTAAAGCACTGCACTGAGAAGCTAAAGCCACTTCTGCATGAGTTCGATTCCTGCCTGCCCCGGAGGAGACCACATGGCGTGGCAGACCTCTCCTGACCCGCTCGCTGCTCCCCTCAGCAGTGTACTTCGTCGATCTGCCTGTTCTGCTCCCCACTCTGTCTCTGGTGAAGCCTCTCACTGCCCCTGAGCCTCTGGCCTGTACCCCAGTTCTGTATGTACAAATAAATAAATCTTTAAACAAAAAATTTTAAACATAAAACAGGTATATCTGCACCAGGGAGGCTGCAGCTCTAACAACACCAGGGGCTGGGTCAGGCTTGGGGAAAAGGTACCCGTGGGAGAGCAGGCAGAAAGTGGATAGCACTTGCAAGGGGGCCACATGCTGTCACCTATGCTGGAGCCATGGTGATCTGGATCCCAACCCTCATGAATGAGATCTGGGGTTGCTGAGATCTCACCTACCCTGACCTGACACTTGCCTGCATAGGTGCAGCATCCTCACTTTGGAGCTTGGATAATTCTGTAAGAAATCCTGCCGGTTTGGGGATGAGCCCTCCCAGTTGCAGAGTCTGGGCTAGCCCTGTACCAACACTGCCCAGTGCCAGGTCATGGCCCCCATGGACTCCCAGCTCCAACAACTCCCACTCTATGCCTCAAGGGAGCAGGTGTTTCAGTGATATCACTGTGAGGCCCAAGCATATGAAAAGGGGAACCAGGATCCAGGGACTGCCCAGCTGGAACCAAGGCTGAAAAGGTGTGATGCTCCCATCAGGGGCTGCTCTTACCCAGACACACCTAGGGTCTCCACCTTGAACCAATTTTCAATCTCTGCCCTGGATGTGACACCCATCTTCACCATGCTTTCCTTGAAAAGTGAGAAGACATTAGCTCACTGCTGTCTCCCAGCCTTGTCCGTTAACATTTCCTGTCCCCTCCTCACTGGTGTGTCATATTTTGAGTGGATTATACCATTACCAAGAATGGAACATAGACCTGGCTTGTGTTTCTGCTCCCTACTCATCCCTGTACTCTGCAGCTCTCTGCTGTTGATAGGGCCAGCGCCCTCAGCCTTCTCACTGAGCATGCCCTTTGCCTCTATGTAGACTCTCAGGAGCCAATCCCAGGGTTGGACTACAAGCCCCAAAGGAGTGTGGGAGCACATCTGACACAATGCCCAGACAGTTCCCCTGGGACAGGACTGTCCCCAACCCCTGCCACTCACATCCATGGGGAAGGACAGCCCCACCTGCAGTGCTGCCACCTCCAACCTCATATCATGAGCCGCCAGTCCAGCTTTCCCTTGTTCTGCAGCCAGTTGGTGAAAGAACCGCCTCCACTTGGTCAGCATCTCTGAAAACTGCAGCTGCAAAGGAAGTCAGCACCAGCCAGGACACGCACTGTTTCCAGTTCCTAGGACCCTTCCCCATCTCATGTGTCTGCAGGGCTCCCAGCCACAGACACAAACACATGAGCTTTCACATAGTGCTCAGGGCAAGGGCAGCCCCAAGTTCTTGCAAACTTATTCTGCAGGAGGAAAGTAGCAGCACTTACCAGAAACTGAGGTCGCCCCAATGCAGTGAGCTTAATGGCTGAGAAGCCATCGTTGCTAGCTCTGCCTGTGAGAAGCCACAGGAAGAGCCATTAGAGTCCCTGAAGCAGAGCTAGAGCCTGTGCTTGGCCCTGACTATGACAGTGCCCAAACCAGAAACACTGTGCACACAGCTACTCCAGAGGCATGGACATGGGGTTTGCACTGGCCATATAGGTCCAGAAAAATGGTGGGCAAAGAGCCAGTAAGTCCTACCTAGTCCTACATGATCACTCCCCTTCCTGCCTCAGTTTCCTCTCCCAAGCACCCACTGTGGGGATCACAGAACAGAAATTCAGAACAGAGCACAGGCAGCAATTCAGAAAAGCTCAACACCGTATCTTTCCCCTGTGTCTTGGAAGCCCACAATGTCATCTTCATCTTCACAGCTTCAAAGCCTTCCCTATCTGTCTGCTTCCCTCCCCCCCTCCGGGAGACATACCTACACTGGTCATGAACAAAAGGCCCAGGTCTGCCATGATTGATTTCCCCAGCCACTCATTCCCATTTCTTTCAAGTGTTTCAATTCCCACTACTGGAACACTGGGACACATAATGGTGCTACACTGAAGAATAAAAAACTTGGAGACCACTGTGACCTCATGGCTTAGCTCACCTCCCTTGGCAGCCACCCCCATCCCAAAGCCATGGGGAAGAAATTCCCCACTGAGAATGGGGCACCTGCTCCCAAGTAGTGAGAAGTGAGTCACAACCTGGCTCAGTATTGAAGCCAGTCAGACCTCCCAAGGGCCCATGTCTGGCACCTGGCTCCCTAGAGAGGGGCCGGAGGTGACTTCCCAGAAGCAGCTGAGCTCCTCAGGAAGGAGCTGGATGTATGTGTGACCCCACTGTGACCTGTGCCCAGCCCAGAGAACAAGCCCCAGAAAGGCTCCGGCCCCAACCTCACATTTCCAGGGGTAGTTCCATGTTCTAGGAGTTAACCCAGGTGGGCATGGAAGATTATGGCCAGCAAAGAACAGGCCCCCACCTGAAGCTTCGATGCAGCGCATGAAGATCTCCATGTGGTGATCACACTTGGCTTCATTGGTGTACAAATATGTGCCAGCACTCATGACACCATCTCCACAGTCTCCAGAGGGCCGATGGTGCTTCTCTCTATTACCTGTGCCTGGAGAAGCAGGCAGAGGGCCTCAGCACACTCCTGGTTCTGTGCAGTGTTGACTCTAAAGGCACAACAGAGCTGCCAGCATCCAGAGGCCATGCTGACACCCCATAATCCCCTGCTCTCTGAAGAGGATCTGTGGCAGTCAAGGCCCCCTACTCTGCCTGTCCTCCCAAAGCCATCTTGCACTTGCTATCCCTTCTCCCTGGGAAAACCCCTATCATGTTGTAAACCTTGGCCAAGAAGGTTAAGCCCAAACCAACTTAGACCTACCTCGGAGGCCCACGAAACTGTGATGACACACACATCAGTGGCCTGGTGCCCACAGACACAGAAAGGAGCTGTGCATTATGCCTGAGTATCCAAGCTTATCTAAGCCAAGCATGGGCAGGGAGGGGTATGGCAACAGGGAGAGCATCTGTTCCCACCTCTTACTTACCATTGCCTTCTCGCTCCAAGACGGAGGCACAAGATCTGCAGGCGGGAAGAAGATTACAAAAGTAGGAGTCATGCCACAGGTCACAGTGACAAGCCTGTCCCCATCAAGGAGGCAGAGGTGTGGCGAGCTGAATGTGGAGTCCCAATAGTCGGGAAAGTAGAGGTACTCTCCCAGCTCATCACCCTGGCCCACAAGGTCACATTCAGTGCAGCCTCCAGCTACCTCCCTACAAAGCCCAAACCCTGGAGAAGTCTCAGGTACCTCATGGGTGGGATCCCCTGCCCCTAACGGTAAGGAATGAGTTCTCAGAAGACCTCCAGGCATAAGGTAAGTGCTTGAAGGCAGCTAGCTATGAGGGTACTCCTTCAGAGGGCACACAGGGCCACAGAGGGCTAAGGAGTAATCCCCGGAGTTGAGAAGCAAGTCCCTTTACTATGTCCTCTGTCCTCCAGACTTGGGCACCTCCTCCAACTACAAGTGCCTAAAACCCCAAATCTCTAGTGCCTAAAACCCCAAATCTCTAGGTTCTTCCTATGCACCATAAAGAACAGTGATAATTTCCCCTTGCATACCTGGGGCAAAGGTAAAACAAAAGAAGCCACTGATACCGTTGCTGCCAGAGTTCAATCTCCCACCAAGGAGGTGACCCCATGGCGCAGCAGACCTCTCTAATCTCTCCCACTGCCGTGTATTTCAGTAATCTGCTGTTCTCTTCCCCAATCTGTCTCTGATAATCCTCTCACTCACCCAAACCCTCTGCACCGCTATCCTCCACCCCAGTTCTTGTATGCATAAATAAATTTGGGGGGGCTACCGTGCCTTTTCACTTCACCACCCCTACAAGTCCAACCAGCTGGGGGCCCTCTAAGAGCCCTCCATCTGGGTTCTGGCCCAGAGCAACCCCAGGTCTGTTTCTGAGGACTTTGAGCCAGGAATGTCCAGGTCAGGACTTGAAGTCCTGGCAGTCAGGCCAGTCTACAAGAGCCAAGGGGTTCCACACTTGATACGGCAGCCTGGGGATGGGGTGGGGGATTAGGTAGGCAGTCACTGCTCCAGCTGCCTTGTGCAAACCAGGTCTACATGGTTAATATAACAGAAGAGGGTGAGGCATCACTGGACAGTGTCTGACTGGAACACAAATACCTGACATTTGTACAAGAGATAAGGAACTCTCTGGCTCACTCCCAAGGGTACCTGTGATGCCAGGTTCAGACTCCTAGGTTGTGGTTAGGCAGAACTAGGGAGAAGCCATCCCCTGAAGGAGAAGGCAGCTCAGAGCCTGTCAGCAAGGATGGTGAGGACAGAGACCTGATGTAATGGGCTCAGATGTGAGCATTAACCACAGGGCATCTTCTAGACAGTAGGTAAAACATTCTCCAAAAAGTCCCTGGGGGATGGCCTATTGAAGCTCAGCATTTCCACAGATGGCCCATTGGACTCCAAAGATGCAGAAATGGAATGGAACTGCTCATTTGTTCCCTCCAAGTAGGCTCCCAGCAGGGTCGGCTGCAGGATACCATTTCCATCCATGAACCTCATGAGCACAGGCAAAATAGGAAGCACTTTAGAAATGGGCTAAGCAATGGAGCTAGGCTAACTGCACTGTCACAGGAAGGGGTGTTGTCTCAGAACAGATCCAAAGCATGGGTGTGTCACATCGCCAGGGACATGCCTGCACACATACACACGTGCAGGCATACACATGTGGGATGGGGGGCCCAGGCTGTGGACAATGGAACTGTGTGCTTGGCAGGCAAGGGGCAGAAACCAATCATGAGAGCCTGGGGGTCTACAGAGGTAATAAGAACCTGATCATCCCCTTTGCTGCTTCTAAAGATCAGTTCTTAACTACAGTGAGCGATTTGCTGGCTGTTAGAGGAGGATATAAGGGGAGGAAAGCAAGGGACTCCCACACCTCATATAGTTCTTCCCTAAGGAAAACACATATTGGGTGATAGGAGGAGGAAAAGTCCAAGGAGGAGGTTTCCATTTGCTCAAGGGTTCCCACCTTAGAAGCCAGCTCCTCAAATCCCCAGCTCCTGGCTCCAGGCTGTGCTGAGTCATTCTGCTCTTTGCCAGTCCTAATGAAATGGGCCCCTGGGTGGTCCAGGTCCCACCCCCAGCCAGCACCACCAGTCTGCACAACAGGTAACCATACCAGCCAGCACAACAGGTAACCATACCAGCCAGCCATCTTGTCCCAGGCTACGGTCACCACCTATCATCAGGAACATGTCCTTAGCCTCTTTGGCTGTCTGCAGCTCTCAGCCTCCTGGGGGACCCTGCAGGCTGGCCCTAGCCTCTACCTTTTTTTTTTTTAAAGATTTATTTATTTGTGCATACAGAACTGGGGTACAGGCCAGAGGCTCAGGGGCGGTGAGAGGCTTCACCAGAGACAGAGTGGGGAACAGAACAGGCAGATGGATGAAGTACACTGCTGAGGGGAGCAGCGGGTGGGTCAGGAGAGGTCTGCCACACCATGTGGTCACCTCCGGGGCAGGCGGGAATCGAACTCATGTGGAAGCAGCTTTAGATTCTCAGTGCTGTGCTTTAACCCGCTGCGCCACCAGGGAGGGCCAGCCTCTACCTTTTAACAAGTGATCTGGTGGGCATTACCTCACCTCCTCCCTAGGTGACTCTGATCTACCTCCCTTGTGCACCTGCTGTTTCCCATCTAGCAGCAGTCCTTCGGGATGCCCACCTGCTGGGGCCCCAGCACACCCGATACTTCCATAATGTCCTGCCTTGCCCAGGTCAGGCCATTACCATCCCTGCCCAACCCTCCTCTCTTACCCTGTGGCCTTACTTTGGGCAGTGGTCTCCCAGCCCTCCCAAGAGCCTATGAGGCCCAACAGAAATAGGAGAATGGCTTTCTGGGCCCCATCAGAACAGAAGTTCTTCCCCTGTTCAGGGGCTGCACAGTCCCTCCCAGTCAAACTCCCAATAAACCAGTTAGGTGTAGATCTTCCTTTAGAACCTTGAAGTCCAGTTCTGCCCCCCTGACCTAGACCTCTCTGAAGGCATGATGCTGCTAGGCAGTGGAACCTGGGGGACATCCTTGACACCTGCCATAAGCATCAGCCAGCAGTCACAATGTTAGCAGTCACACTGAGGGACTGCTTTACGTTCCAGAACCTAATGAATGCAACTCAAACAGGAATGCACAAATCACAGGGCACAATGCTCCCCCTGGAGGGCAGGGAGGGAAACCAGGGGATGGAAAGGAGACTTTTCACAGCAGACAGAAAATTCCCTGGTAAAAACATACAAATGCAGTAGGCACAAAACCAGTTATTCTGCAGATAGCCTCAGCAAAGGCAGCCCCAGACCACAGCTCTGGGAACACGAGGGTCCACGAGGAGAACTCCACCTTCAAGACAGCGAATCACTAGGCAGGGGCTGGGTGCCCCAGGCCAGTTGGCCTCCCTGGCTCCTAGGCAAGGTTCCAACGCTGGGACATTCCGTTCCCATGGCAGGAAGGCTCATGTGACGCCTTTCCCCTCCCTGGCTCCCAGGCTAGAGCAAACATCACTGCCTGAAATGGCAGGTTGCTCAGCAGGCTTGTCCACACCTCACATGGGCTGGGCACAGCTGCTGAGGATTCCAGGCCCCAAATGCAAGAAAAACACACCTGGAGGTTGCTAGCACCAGAACAGAAGCTGCGTATTTTACAAGAAAGGCTAGCCTTGCCTGGACCTCCAGTGAGGCCGCTACTCTGGGAAACAGTGACCCAGTCCTCTAGTTCTTTCCTATGGCCCAGAAAGGCACATGAGGACGGTGCCATCATTCCCTACACTCAATGCACAGAGGATGAGTCCTAAAGCAAAGGGGAACCAAGGGAGAAAGCCCCAGGCTGGCACAGCACACTGTTCCTGCCTGTACAGTCCCTTCTCCAAGGAAGCGCCAGGCTTGGCAGGCTCCACAGCAGGTGGAGCTCACTTGTCACCTACAAAATGGTCTCAGTGTCCAGAGGGTGAGACCTGTTAAGCAGGTCAAGAATCTCCCCCTCCATCTCCCCCTAGGAGAAATGCTTTAGCAGAGCGGAAGCCAGGAGTCTCCTATACCAGGGTGGACAAATGTTTTTGTAAATGGCCAGGAAGCACCTATTTTCAGCCTGTGGGTCATACAATGTCAGCCAAGTTACTCAACAGCTCTCTCCTGTCAGGCAAAACCAATTTAAATTTCATGTAATTTATGAGTCACAAAATATTGTTCTGTCTTAATCTTTTTCAATCATTAAAAAAATGTAAAAATCTGGGCCCTCCCTGGTGGTGCAATGGGTTAAAGTGCAGCACTATAAAGCTGTCTGCAGCTACTGCAGCACAAGTTTGATCACCCACCAGGAGGGTGACCCACATGGCACAGCAGACCTCTCCTGACTCCCTCCCCCCCCACGCTCCCCTCAGCAGTGTATTTCAGTAATCTGCCTGTTCTGCTCCCCACTTTGTCTCTGGTGAATCCTCTCACCTCCTACACCTCTGGCCTATACCCCAGTTCTTGTATGCATAAATAAACCTTTTTTTAAAATGTAAAAATAATTCTTAGTTTTCAGACTATATAAAACAAGGTGGTGGGCAAGAGAGTTTGCCAGTTCCTATCCTTGCCCTTCCTGCAGCCTCTTATACACCAGACATCCCATCATCCTCACATGGCAAAGGGCAAGAACTCCAGGAAGAACCCAAGAGGACCTCTGCTATTCAGGTTAACGAAATTCTCCAAAGGTTGGCCTCCTCCTAGCCCAGGCCACAGCCCAGCCTCTGGTCAACTTCAGGGAGCTCTTGGGTTGCCAGCAGATACCCAGGCAGGTCTTACTCCATCTCAGAACTCAGGTCCATCTCCACCCCGTAGTCTAGGATAGAGCCCACGCCAAAGGCCCTGTTGAGCTGAATCAGGGGCCGGATGGATTCCTGGTCCTCGCCAGCCACAAACTGCCCGTAGAAGGTCATCTTCATCAGTTTGTCAAACAGACTTTGTCCCAGAAGTCTCCTGGCAATGTGGAGCAGCTGAAAGGTAAAAAGAAGTAGCTGTCTGTGTTTAGCTTCCCCTTCCCCAGCAGGTTATCCCACCCGTTTCACTCTAACCATGAAATCTTGAACATTCTCCTCAGTCCTGATTTTATAATGGAGACAGCCCAAAACAGCCTACTTCTCTGTTCACAGCCACTGTTGATCACATGTTCCTCATAAGGGGAGGCCAGTGCCAAGGGTCACCCCCTTGGCCACTCTTGCCTCACTGTCCTGCAGACTCAGGGGTGACTCCAGCAGCACACATCAGATACCTGACCACCGCTTAGTGGATAAAGGTGTGAATGGCTGTTCTCTCTGGAGACAGCAGTGGGGATGCATGTCCTAACATTCTCTGTGTCCATACTTTAGTGTTTACACTGGTCAAAAGGAAGATTTGGTTCAACTTTCTAGAATGTAAGCAACATTTTGTTTTCTCCTTATTTTGCATTCTTCAAAAGCTCTCCAGTTGTTGAACAGATGATCAAGTATAAAACAGAATTGTGAATTTAGCTGGTGTTAAGTACAGGCTGACAATAAAACAGGTGACAAACTCAAAGGTCTGTGAGATGAGACTTTTCCCCCAAAGGGCTAGGCACAATCATGTAGAACCATAGGGGACCAGCAGCTCCAACAGAGCTACCCCTGAGGAAAACAGCTGCCAACTTGGCCTTCTCTTCCAATCACATCTTACCATACCCCAAATTTCTGCCATCATTCACTCAAACATGCATAGAAGCTGCTTCATGCCCAAAACAATTCTAAGATGGACAAAACAGACTGGGTACCCACATCCTAGTGGCAAGGAGATACTGAAGGAGGGCAGAGAATGGTACCTCCACAAAGCAATACGGAATATGGAATGAAAGGGTGCCTGGGTAAATGAGAGCTAGAGGTATTTGCTAACACAGATTCACAAAGGAGAGCTTGCCAAGGTAAGCCACAGAGGAAAAGCCAGGACAGGAGGAATGAGGACAAATGAAGGTATCTAGGGCTGGGAGGACACATATACTACTTGCCTTTGTGTCCAGTGCCCATCACCTCAGCTCCAAAGCAGGAAAAAAAAACAGTTTCCCAAACCCTTTCTATGAGAGGAGAGGGGAGAACACTTACAATCAGAGCTGCAGGGAACAGTCTCCATTTTAAAGAAAAGCAGGAGCAAGTTAAACGCCTTGATCCCCAGACCAGCTTCACAGACCCCATGGACAACCACTTCCTCCCTAGTCATCCCTGTGCCCTAGAGACCTCTTTCCCCTACTACCACTGCACGACCAGCACTTAAACTCCTTTCCAGCTGCCCCTCAGATGCTGGTGCTTCCCTAAAGGTCCTCATCACTTTCCACCCACCCCCAACTAACTTTCTTGATCTCAAGCATCCCTTTTCACCCACCTCACTGGTTAACCTGGATTTACCCCAGCTATGACTTTACCTTGGGACACCACAAACTAGCTTCCCTTGAGGCCTCCACCTCTCCCTCCAACATCCTGCTCCCATCAGTCCTATGCTCTCAACCCTGAAACTCCCGTAGGATTCCAGGTCAGCACCTTCCCAGTAGCTTCAGAGTCACCTGACTCCAACTTGTGGCACTGCTCTCTCCTCTGACCACAATGGCCTCCCCTGAATCCTCTTATGCTCCCCACCCCAGCCCTGCACCTCTAGCCTATACCCCAGTTCTGTGCAAAAATAAAAAATGTTAAAAATTAGAAATGCACCTTCTTGGTCCAGCTTCCCCTAGTGACCTAGGAAGGAAGCAGGTGTTCTCAGCACTCACTGTGAGAAATTAACACCACCTGTATGAAGAGCCTTCCGGATCCCAACACCATCCAAAGCAACTTCCCAAGTCATTCCCAGGATCACAGTGAAATAACACCCATCCTATAACCCCACTGGCTAGGACAGTGTTCTACTTTTAATTTCCATAACCCGAAAGCCTTTTCAATGTTTTCAAAGTCGCCAGGTTAAAGTCTTAAAAGTTGGATGTTTAAGAGGCATCCATTTACCCTTCAACACGGTCTGGAGCCTCCCTATCTGGAGAGGTGGTTCACAGCTATCACAGGCTATGAGCCATTCAGCACCTCCAGGCTTCCTTTTGGGTAACAGAAGGTAAAAGTTCAGGTAATAACTATCCCTTAAAATTCAGTTGGTCTTTGGCTTTAGTTGGCAATAACTGATATGTAGGAAAATTCACAAGGCCCAAAAAGGAATGCAGGAAACACTTCCCTTCCCGACTTCTGGGCCACAGGCCATGTTCTAGGGATCTCGTCTGAAGCTTCATTACGCTTCCAGACACGGGCAGAAGTACCCCCACAGGGCCCGTCCTGCGGCCACCCCGCGGCCACCCCGGCACCACCCCCCCCCCGCCGCCCGCCGCAGCGCCTCCCTCCCATGCCCTCCCCCAACCCCGACTCCACCACCACCTGTCCAGCCGCGCACCTGCTCGTGGTGCGCCAGCAGCCAGGGTGAGGCGCACAGGCGCAGCACCAGCAGGCTGCGCACCAACTCCCAGCTGCGCCGGCTGCGGTACGCTTCCTGCGCGTTGCCGAAGTCCACCGCGGGCAGCGGCGGTCTCGCGGCCTCCGCCACGCCTCGGGCAAGCGCTGGGCCCGACGCGCCGGTCAGCCGCACAGTGAATGGCAGAGGCGAGTTGGGGGCGCTGGAACGCAGCAGATGTACCATGCGCCGCAAAGCCATGGCTGGACGTAGGAGTGCGTCAAGCGGCTTAAGTATGCGCCTCTGGTCCCGCCCGCAGGCTCCACCCCGCGCCCCGCCGGGCCCACTCCTCTCCTCAGGAAACTCAGTACCTCCGAGCCATAGTCACCAACACACGCCCACGCTCCCCCCTCCCCCACTTTGCCGCGAGGCCCCAATCCCAACACCAGCTGGGAGCTGTGCCCTTTGCTGGGGAGCCCATCCGCAGCGAGCCACTCACTCACTCACTTCTTGGGAAACCTCCCTCCTCCCTCCTCCCCTCCTCCCCTCCTCCCAGAGCTGTGAGCCAGGCCCTCCTCCGTAGAGCTCCAGACCAGCGAACTGTGGAGCAGTGACAAGCCCCGCCCACGGGAGGCCCTAGCTTCTCAAGGGGCAGTTACTGGTCATTCCCAAGATCTGTCTCCTTAACTGTCCACCCCCAGCTCCGCCCTCCCTGTCTGAGCCCCTGTGCCTTTAGGAACTGTAAAAATCAACCGGGTATGTGATTTATTGCCAGCATCCCAAGTCTTTCACCTGGCTTGGTGGGTCTGAGTGATAGGGGCAAAGGACTGGGAGGAGATGGGGTCTGGTGGGAAAGCTGCACCCACACGTCATTTGTTGTCCAGAGTAGTGCTACAGGGTAGGGAGAGGAGCACCTCTGAACACCCAAACCTGCCAGGTTCTGCCACCCGTCGCATCAGGGGTGGAATTGTAGTTTTGTCAGGGGGAAAGGATGTCCTGGACTAACTTAGCAGATAGGTTTTGTGGACTCTGGGGGATATATATAAAGGAGCCATGATGAGCAGGTTCTCTCTCACTCTCCCTTGGCCTCATGGTTGGTGGCTTGTCGCTTGGCTCTTGATGAGCTTTCAATATGCTGTGGGCTCCAAGTCAATGGAACTGGTAGGATGTTCTAGTTAACTTGTATCTCTCTCTCTCTCTTTTTTCCTGGGTTGTTCCTTTTCTTTCCCCTTTGTAAATAATACCATTATTGATCTTTTTGTGTGTATCTGCCGTACAATTGAATTTTAAGCGTTCCAGTGAGGACCCACAGACAGGCAGCCCAATTCACATAGGGTTGTCCTGCAACAGTTTCAATGACTGGAGTAGGGGGTAGAGTCCACAAAACCTGTATCTGCAGAATTCATTCAGGACATCCTTTCCCCCTAACATTTTTTTAAAGATTTATTTATTTATTCGTACAGAACTGGGATGCAGGCCAGAGATGCGGAGGGTGAGAGGATTCACCAGAGACAGAGCAGGGAGCAGAACAGGCAGATCGAGGGAAGTGTACTGCTGAGGGGAGCAGCAGGTGGGTCAGGAGAGGTCTGCCGTGCCATGTGGATCTCCTCTGGGCAGGCCAGATCGAACTCTTGTGGAAGTGGCTTAAGCTTCTTAGTGCTGTGCTTTAACCCACTGCGCCACCAGGGAGGGCCTCCCCCTAACATTTTAATGGAAAGAAATTTTAATACAATTAGTGTGCAATACAGAAAAGACAAAGTTTCTAAATCAAACCCCCAAAGTCACCCATACCCTTGTGGGTGAAAGTCTATCCAAAAGGGATTGGCCCAAAGTAAGGCCTGAAAACCCGTCATATGTCTAGTCTAAAGCACCTTCTGCCAAGGACCCATTGAAAAGGGTCAGAAATGGCCTGACAAGTCTGGGAGGAAGAGAGCAAAATCAAAATCAAGATGAACGCTGCCATAGTCAACCTCCCCAGGAGTCTGTCACCCACATCTGTTTCACCCAGTACAGGACCAAGACACAAGAGCCACTTCACATTTCTCTGTGCTCCATGTGGCTCCCTCAGGTCTCCTTCTGGCTCTCCATCCTGCTTCCTTCCTCCCCATTCTCAGGTCCAGATTCTTCTCTTTCTTGCTCAGCTCCACCCTGCTTGGGTAGGGTTGGGAACCTGGAAATTCCCCTTTTCCCGGGACCATCCTGTTACCATAGGAGTACAAGGAGCCAGTGCTATCTGAGACCAGCACAGTGGGATGAGCAAAAGGCCAGATGTCCAGAAGGCGATAGGAGCTTCAGAGCTGGATGTCACAGTCTCCTGGCAGCAGTGAAGGTCTGCCTACTGCTGAACTTTGTTCAACTCACTGTAAAAAGCTAGCTAGAAAGGAAATGTTAAGGCAGTTCCTTTAGGGTATTAACCCCACCTCTACCCCCACTCCCATCTTCCAGATTGCTGACTGTCTGATAAAGCACACCTTAAAGAATCAATTCCAGTCTCTGTTTTATTGGTATTTGGTGATGACAAGAGGCCTGAACTCCTGTTTTCTGGCTATAGTAGTTATTTATTGTATGACAACTGGGTGACAGAAGCCAAGGACTGTTGCAGGTAATGCCCTCCCCCCACCTAGGGTTGCTGGTGGAGACAAATAGTCTCAGGGAAAATGCTAAAAAAGTATGGGATTTTGAGAAGGGGGCTTCTTTGAAGGGGAAATAGAAGTGATTGCCGAAGGTGGAGGCCTTCAGTAACTAACCTTGGAGAGGAAGAGGCTTTGCAAGTAGCCAAGTGACTGAAACGGTTCCTGGCTTTTTACTGCGGTTACAGCCTGTCTTAGCTGCATGAGTGAGGCCATTTGTCAGGTCATTTGCTTGCTGTGGCTGCTGTCCTGAGTGTTGCTCATCTGGTGCTGTGCTGGGTAAAGTAAACAGTCATTATTAGCTTCAGTAACTCTTGTTTTTCCCCTTTGTTAAATAAATCCCCTTTGTTGTTATTTCCTAAGCCTAAGCAGTCTTGCAAATGTGCTCACAGCCAGGCAGAATTTGCAGACCAGAGGTGGGACATGGTCATGGGAATGGAGGACCATTGTAAAGAATTACTAGCCCTTACAAATTAACTTAGTCACACCCTAGGTGTAATAAGGTTAACAAAAGTTAACAACTCCACAAAAGAGTGAGTCCTTCCCAAAGAGACTTTATCAGTGCAATTTCTGCACTGGCACAGGGCAGCAGCCCTTCTGCCCACCTGTGTTAAGCAGGTGTTCCTCACCTCTATCTTTCTCCCAATGTAGGGTAGCAGCCCTGTTGCCTGCCAGTGGCCTCTGACCATGCCAGTGGTCTTCACGGACTTTATCCCTTTGCAAAGTAGCAGAGGCAGCTCTCCTCCCAAGGCTGCCTGCCTGTGACCATGTAGCAAACCTGTTCCTTTCTGGGGCAGCCATTTCTACCCACTTGTATCTACGCAGGTAACCTTTATTCTTCTCTCCCTTTTTTCATAATAAACCTGCCCTTTTTATATAACTAATGCCTCTGTCTCATGGAGAAACTCACCTGAGAAATTCACTGGCACCCTGTGCTGCTGAAAGTGGAGGTTTAGAGAAATTTTCCCCAGCGTTAACCCCTCTTTCCAAATCCAACATCTACAAAACTGACTTCAGCCACCATGGTTCCTCCCCCCTCAGCTTCCCTTCTAGGCTTCACCCTCAGTGCCTCTCCTTGAGGTTGACAACAAAACCAGCTGTTTTGTCACTTCCCTCAGTATTTCCTTTATGCCTAAAAGCTTTCCCACCCTCAGCCTCAGGTGGTTTTGGTCCAGCAGCCCAGCCCCAGATATCACTTCCTGGGAAGGACCTTTCTGATTGTGTCATAGTGCCTCCTCCCCTCATTCACACATGAGTTCCCCCTACAGTTCCTCAGACATTCCTGCACCACCATAACAACCTAGGTGCAATATCTGGCTATGGGTGACAACTGTACTTTACTCCTTCCCACCTTGGCCACCTCATCTGATACAGGGCAGCTAGGGGCACTAAACTGGCCAAGGACACTGCCTTAGTAGTTTACTCAGAGCTCCTCTGAGTTTTGAAAATACCCATACACATGATTGCAGGACTCATGTTCTTTCAGGCTCAGGAAACAACAACAAAGGGATTTATTTAATAAACCAGATAAAAACAAAGAGTTACTGAGGCCAAATATAATGGCCTTTACCTCACCCAAAGTGAACAGTGCTTGCCAGTCCTGTACAAAAACAGTTAAAATGGCATCTTTCCACCACAGAGGATGCAGAGCTCCTCTCCCAAACAATAGACTATGTGTCTAAAATGGCATCCTCTTGCCACTAAGGATACATGGCAGTCAGAATATGGACCAGGTTCTGACTCCCAAAAACAGCAGAAAATACAAGAGGAGATACCCCATTAGCTGCTGGGATGCCCAGACAAGCAGCACTCAAACAATGGTGACTGAACACCCAACAAGCAGCAACACTCATGCATTTCAACAAGATGCCTGGCTCCGGGTCTCTGTCTTCTCTGCCAGGCCACAAAAGCCTTCTGGAAAGATCAGCACTGTGGGGGCCCAAATCTGCTGACGCTAAATGCTAAATTACCAAGACTCCTCTCGAGTCTGCTTCTGCAGTCACTTAAATCATTTATCTGCCCTTCCACCCCACTTTATAGCATTTTCCTTGAAGCTATCCATCCTCACCAGCAACGCCCTTCAGGGAGCACCCCTGCTTTTGGCTTCAGCCACCGGTTACACATCTGCCTCATTCTAATGGTTTGCAGCATGCTCCATGTAAGTTGGGGCACTGGGTATCCTAAACTGTTCCATTTTATTGGCCTTCATATAGTCTTGTGCATTACAACATGTTTATCAGTGTCTCTGGTCTCTACCCACCAATGTCAGTAGCACCCTGTCCAGACTGTACTAAGATACCCTGTGGGACACCTAATTATAATATCCTAATTTAAATGGAGGAGCAACTTACTGATACAGTCATGTTTTTTCTGCCCCTTCTCCTTCCTGATGAACTTAAAGAGAAAGAAAGGTGCAAAGAGTAGGTTTACTGAGGCTGAGCCCAGAAGCAGCAACTCAGGGTCCTAGCAGCTCAGAAACATAGTTCACCAAGAATAGACAGAACTTGGAAGCTGGCATGATCACTAGCTTCTTCCATTTTTTTTTTTTCATGATGATCTTCCCATTGAAACATGACTATAGGTGTGCTATAGCAGGTCAATAAGACAGTGGCCATGCACAGGACAAGTCACTGTCTGGGTTCTCACCAGCACTCACAATTGCAAGAACCCTCAGGCTCAGAGAACAACAGTGGGGGTTATTTAACAAGCAGGGGAAACAGTGTTCACAGAGTCCAGAAGTCCCAAACAAATGGTCACTCATTAAACATGGCACTATCTACCCACAAGGATCTAGAGCTCATGGCTTGCTTGCAAGCAGCAGGCCAGAATCCAACTCACTGTAGCTGGAGGTATTCATAGACAGG